TTTCTGTAAGTCGCTTGCTCGCACTTCCTACTTACTCAGTTAATAGTATTTCCCTCTCATTCACTGAAAGAGTTAAAGATGAGATAGTTACAGTTACAGTTTTTCTTTTTTTACAAAACTTAGAAAAGAAACTCCCTAAAGAGGTACAAAGTGTAAAAGGTGAGAGACATTAAATGATAATTTGATAATGCAAATTAGAATAGAAAGTGAATTAGGTACAACCTTTTGGACTCATCAAGATAGGATAGATATGGAGTGTTTTCTCTGAATTTGTGAAATGCAAATGGACTAGACAATGTTGATATATTTATTGCCTTATTTATTGTATATAGGCATTGTACTTATTGTATTCAGTCTTTCTTGTATTAGTTATAACCTTTTTTATATTAGTCAAAAGGGGAAATGTAGTGATATTGTGTTTATGATCTAACAAATAAAGCTTGCTTAAAGATCAGAGGACAAAGCTAGCCACACCACTCATTCACAAAGGCCAGGCAGTGGTGGCACATGCTTTTAATCTCAGTAGTCACAGTAGTTAGCTATAGAGGCCAGGTGGTGGTGGTGCACACCTTTAATACCAGCACTAGGGAGAAATATAAGGCAGGATGAGACATGAACTTACTCTCTTTTCAGTCTGAAAATTTCACAGAGGTTAGAGCTCTCAGTGGCTGGCTGTTTTGCTCCTCTGATCTTTCAACTTGAATCCCAATATCTGTCTCTGGTCTTTTATTATTCATGTTACAAGCAGTTTCTCAGAAAATTGGAAATTAATATACCTGAAGACCCAGCTATACCACTCTTGGGCACAAACCCAAAGCATGCCCACCCTGCCACAAAGTCACTTGCTCAACTATGTCCAAAGCAATATTATTTGTAATAGCCAGAAACTGGAAAGAACCTGGACGCCCTTCAAAGAATGAATTAAGAAACTGTGGTACATTTACACAATGGAGTATTATTCAGCATTTAAAAATAATGACATCATTAAATTTGGAGGCAAATGTATGGAACTAGAAAAGATAATCTGAATGAGGTAACCCAGATGCAGAAAGACAAACATGGTATGCACTCACTCCTAAGTGAATATAAACTGTAAAGTAAAGGATAACCATTCTACAACCCTCAGACCCAGAGAGTCTAGGTAACAAGAAGGGAGGGGAGGGTGCATGGATTTCCCTAGGAAGGGAAATAGACAGTGGGAGGGGTCTTAATGAGGGTTGGGATGAGAACAGGAGGGATCAGGTGGAGGAAGATGAAGGGAGTACAACTGAAATCTGGTGGCATCTCTGGAAATAGTTAGAAACCTAGAGTAACAGAAACTCCCAGGAATTTATGTGGGTGACCCTCGCTAAGACTCCTCACAACTGGGAGATATAGAGCCTGAACCAGCCATCTACTGTAATCAAGCAAGTGGAGGGGTTGGGACAACAACCCAGCTACAAAATCATCCTACAGTTTGTCCTGCCTGCAAGGAGTGTTGTGGTTGTGTGAGTGGCCAACCAAGCCCAGCTTGAGATTCATACCATGAGAGGGAGCCCATTCTTGACACTGCCTGGAGTATCAGGACCAGAGGTGGGAGAGCCCAGAGACCTAGAGTAGAACCAAAGACGACTGGAAAAAACAGTCAATAAAAATGATTCCTAATGATAGTCTGCTATACTCATAGATTGGTGCCAAGCCCAGTTGTCATCAGAGAAATGTCCACCAGAAGCTGGTGAAAACAGATGAAGAGCCTGAAAGCCAAACATTAGGAGGAGATTGGGGAATCTTTCAGAAGAGGGGGAGGAAGGACCATAGGAGCCAGAGGGATCAAGGACACCACAATAAAACCCACAGTACCAACTAACCTGGGCTCACAGGGGCTCACATAGACTGAACTGACAACCAGGGAGCCTGCATGGAACTCACCAAGGCACTCTGCCCATATAGGACAGTTGTATAGCTTGGTTTTCTTGTGGGACTCCTAACAGATGGATCAGGGGCTGTCTCTGACTCTCTTGCTGCCTGCTTTTGGGACCCTTTCCTCCTACCAGGTTGCATTGTTCAGCCTTAATAGAAAAGGAGGTGCTTAGTCTTATTGCAACTTGATATGCCATGGCTGGTGGATATTCATGGGAGGGAGGCCTACACTTCTCTGAAGAGAAAAGGAGGAGGAGGAGCGAAGAGGGGTGAGGAGATGGGGGGAGAGGAGGAAGGAGAAAGTGAGGTCGGTCAGGATATAAAAACATCAAACAAATGAAATAATAATAATAGTAATAATGATAATGACGATGATACCCTAAAGAAATTAGGGATACAAGAGATAGAGACATACTGTAGGGCTGCAGTGTTTGGATCCCAGGTGCCTCTGGAGTTTGGGGCCTGTGGAGTTTCCTGCAGAGAGGCAGCAACAAATAAATCTCACAGAAGTTTGGAGAAAAAAAAAGAGAGAAAATCCTAATCAGGGGGACACTGACTCCAGCAGGAGCCCCACGTGCAACTCCAGCATGTGCCAGTGACTGCAAAACCACAGACAAATTGCTTTTTTGTGTGTGGATTCATGCCTTAAAATTGGGTACCAGATGTAGCACGAATTCTAACAGGTCTTAAGAATAAAAACCCAGAGTAAGATATTAGGGACTGAAAGCTAAAAATCAAAGAAGCAAAGCAGTCAGACATGAGAGTTCTTACCTCTACAAAGTCCTCAGACCAAAAAGAGAGTAAGCGCCTGTCTCTTCCCACCTTATATTCTTCTTTCCACCCAGTCATATCATTTCCTGTCTGTGTGTACAGACCTCCAGATCTCTATGGTTAACTAGTGGCTAGCTCCACCCTCTGATCTGGAGGCAAGCTTTATTTGTTAGAGAACAAACAAGATATCACCACAATAACTGACAGCAGTGCTGCAGAGGATGTGGAGAAAGAGGAACACTAGTTCACTGCTGGTGGGGGTGCAAATTGATGCAGTCATTCTATAACGCTCGTGGGAGTTCCTCACAGCATTAGAAATGCCATATGACACAGCTATTTCACTGGGCATATACCCAGAGATCCTGTACCCCAGAATAGAGATATTTGCACCCCCATGAATACTGCTGCTCTACTCAATATACAAGGAGATGGAGCCAGTCTGTCAGATGAATTCATAATGCAAGTCTACTGCATATACAAATAAAATATTATTCATCTCTAGAGAAAAAAAATGAAGCCTCAAAATTTAAGGAAAGTTGATGACTTAGAATTTATAAAGTTAAGTGAGATTACCTGATCTCAGGGGGAAAAAAACACATGTTCTTTCTTGTATGTGGATCCTAGCCTATAATGTATGCATGTAAACATGTAATTAAATGTGCAGAGGTACAGTGCAACATTGAGGAAGGAGAACATGAAATTTTAAAGAGACAAAACACTCCCTAATGTGTTCACATACATGCTGTACTTTGTGGGTTCTCTGAATGCTCTCTCAACATGTGCACGGTTTAGATGTAAAACAGGACCTTAACAAGCAATATCCACATGTGAATCTGTGCTGCCACCTTACTGGGAGGACCATGTTTGAAGGTATGGTTTCATCATTTAAATGTCTCTGTAAAATGCAATTCTTACAAGTACTGCCAACTTAGGGTGCACTATTCTTTTAACAAAAATTCCAGCTATAAAAATTAGAGAGTGAAGGCTGTCCAAAGTATGTTTAAACCATAGTAATTGGGGAACTTTTTAAAATTCTTGGGAATGCTGGCCATGAATCTCAAAGGCTAACACACCAGAAATTCCCCAAGCTTAAGAGGGTTTGATTTGGTATTCTTTTCAATGAATAAATGTGTTATTGTTAGTGAATGAATATACTCCCCTTTAAAACTTAAAAGTCATAACAAAGCTATTTGGAGTGAACAAAGGACTTAGATATTCCTGTCCCTGAACAAGATGTACACAAAGCTAATGCACACCCAGGAAAGGGGGTTCAACCACCAGCCTTCTGGGAATTGCATATCAAAGTGGCAGTGAGTCTCAGCTGTTATAGTCTCCAACAAAAATCTAACTAAGTCCTCAAAGGCAGCTGCACTCTGGGACCTTCCCTGGAAAACTCAGTGCTCAGCTCCATTACAATCTTAGGAGCTTGGCTACCATCCTTGTGACAGCACAGACATGAGCTGCAGGTCTCCTCGTGGACACCAGGGGGCGACAAGAAACCACATAATCAACAGGGAAGCTCCCTGAAGCCTGAACATGTCTTGCAGCCTTGTCTCCATCCCAGTTCCAACAGACCTGGAGCTCCCTCACATAATCATTTCCTGTGTCTCTGAGAACCCAACTCTACAAGGAGACCCTATGTAGTCCCCTTCTTCCCGCACCACCCATGAGGAAAGATGGGGAGATCACAGGGCAGTCACCAAGCAGAACAAAGGCATCCCAGAAGGGTCAGGGAGGGCATGGGCAGACCTGATTCACATTCAGACAGCACAGGAAGCTGGGGGAAGGGGTGTCTCCCCAGGGCTCTCCATAGGAAGCTGGAGCACACAGTCCTCTTCTAGGACACACAGGTCACCTCCTCCTGCACGCAGGGATGTGAACTCCTGAGATAACTTGTATCCCTGGATCAGACACCTGACTGGTGACAGCAGTGACCATGGATCTGGTCCCTCCCCAGTCAACACTCAGACCTTTTCCAGCCCCTAGAGATAACTGCCACTCCCTCCCTGGAGTAACTCCCACTTTCCCAGAGCATTGAGATCACAGGCCAGACTGGGCTCTGCTGGAGTTTTGTGTCACAAGGAAATACACTCTTGGCTATGGGAAGTGCAGGGACAAGGCCCTGGGGTGAGCTGCTGTTCTCTCGGGACACAGGACACTTCTCAGCCTGTGGCTCAAAGTATGTTCTAGAACACTGAAAGAGAATGGAATAGAAGGATGGGAGGCAGCACTGACGCACAGACTCCACCCCTGGCCATGTGACTCCAGGAGGTGTCCCCCTCTGGGAGGGGGCTCAGGTCTGAGAATAAAAGCAGAGCAGATACCAGAGCAGCCAGGCTTAACAGCAGCCTGAGAGGCAAACCTCCTGTCCAGAGGAAGAGCCTAGGCCACAGCAGAGACCATGGAGCTCTCCTCAGCCCCTCTCCACAAAGGGCAGCTACCCTGGAGGGGACTCCTGCTGGCAGGTGAGGAGACATTCCTCAGGGGTGTGGACAGCAGGGGAGATCAGAGACTGGATGGGGTCTTCTGGGAGGGCAATGTGTCTGAGAGGAGACATCTGGCTTCTGCTTGAAGCCTGAGAGCAACAGGAAGCTCGCAATGAATGTGAATTGGTAAGTGGGGAGGAAAAACTCAGGGGCTCCCCACTGTAAGTTTATCAGCACTGGCCACTGTACCCTGAAGACTGACTCCCACAACTGTGTCAGGGTGCCTCTCCAAGTAAAACTCAAACTGGGGCCAGTAAACAGGGTCATTTCATACATACGACCCTGAGGAATCCTCAAATAAATCCCAGGCGCTGGGACACTGGTTTGCTCATAGGTGTCTGAGCCTGTTCCAGGCAGTGGGGTTTAAACCAAAATCAAACCAGTTCTCCTCCCAGAGTCCTAGTGTTACTGGGCAGAAAGACAGAGCAGCAAGGACATCTAGAAGGTGGGGTGGGGTTGACAAGAACTTCAGAAGGAACAGAGCTGGGAAGGTCAGAAAATGAAGGCTTGGAGTCTTTAGAGGAGGAGATCAGAGAAGACATGCCTACACTCACCAAAGATTCTGAGTGTGAGCAGGGATCTGAGGGACTGAGGGGTGAGCTGTGCAGACACCCGAGAAGACAGTTTCATTCCATGGAAAGATTCAGGTATACTGAGGAATGGGGGTGATGCTGCTGACCTCCCCCAAATAGGACATACACACACCAAGGCTGAGAGTTGAACACACTCAGGTTTCAATTTCTACCAAATGCAAAGGTCCTAATATTGATAGATTTTTCTCTCTTTCCTCTTAGCCTCACTTTTGATCTACTGGAGCTCTCTCACCACGGCCCAGCTCATTGTGGTCTCACAACCACCCCACGTTGCTGATGGGGAGCACGTACTTTTCCAGGTCTTCAATGTGCCAAACGATGTCCAAATCTTTTACTGGTACAGGGGTAAAGATAAAATTCCGGCTAAAGAAATTGCACGATATATAGCAATCAAGCCTCACAGAAATAACACAGGGCATTCATACACTGGCAGAGAAAGAATAGCCTCCAATGGTTTCTTGTACATCTTTAACGTCACTCGGAATGATACAGGAACCTACACGGTAGTTGTGCAAACGGGTATCTCTGAGTACACGGAGGCCTCCTTGGAGTTGTACGTACACCGTAAGTAATTCTCTGTACCCTCTGGGTTGTAGGTGGAGCTAACCCGACTTCACACATAGTCAGTCCTGGATGACTCTGTGTTATGTTCCCCAGATTGCAATTCAAACATTTGGTACATGTCACAGAGAGGGGAAAGAAAGAAATCAGGATCACTCACTGGAATCCACCCTCAGAGAAGACAGGGTGAAGTAACTCTGCCCAGGGTCTTAGATGCTCATCATGAACGTGGCCTTGAGAAAGACCCTTCAGGACTCAGGCAGGGCCTGGCTGACAAAACAATGAAATTTTCACAGAGACATGAACACCAGGCTAGACCAGGAATCCTGAGAAGCTTACAGACTGGGTTGGAATTTGACCTCCTGTTGGAGCTCATAGGGGACAATGAATGACTGTAGGCTGGTAGCCTGCTGGCCGTCAGCCTGTGAGAGCCATGTCTGAGGCAGGTCACCTGGGCATCTCCTCCTGAGACTCAGTGTGCTCAGTATAGGTGGAGGGGTATGAAAGGCAACCAGCCAGCTGTCCTGGTGGTCTTCTGAGACCTCACAGGAAGGTGGAGAGCCCTAAAGAGATGGGAGAAAAGTGTACAAATGGCAGCTCCCTGCCTCCGGGGTCCAGCCCTGGGTTTATTTTTTGCAGGCAAATAGTAAGAGAAACTGCTTGGTGGAAGGTCAGGTCATTGCTCACATTTAAGGTTAACTTGCAGGCATGGCAACGATCATTTACCCTGTGTAGTATTCTAGGGAACCTGAGACAGGAAACACAGTTAGAGTCAGAGTCACACCAGCCCTGGGAGGCACAAGCTATCTGTCCACAGCCACATCTCCAGCCTCCCCACCATGGAGACCTTATTAGGTGCCCCTGAGTCTTATAGATCATTTCCTAGACTCAGACTTCTTTTAGGGATTCCTGATTCAAGTTAATATCAAACTCCTGACAAGAATGTCTCACCTGTGGCCCAACCCTACTTCAATGGCAGCCAGATCCTGATCTGTGTGCAATCTCTGACAAGCTGTCAGGTTCTCAGGGAAGCTCAATGGGAAGACTAATCATGACCTATCTGTAGGAGAGCCCTGAGCAGCAAAGGCTTGGAGGGCGCTGGTCCTCACTGAGCAGTGGAGGTCAGGGCAGCTGGACTCGCACATTGTGTCCCAAGACACGCAATAGGTCAGTGAGGACCAGGAGATAACATGAGGTCTCTGATTCCAAGTCTCGAGTCTGTCCATCACCACACACTGCAGCTCAGTTTCCTCCTGGGAAAGCCCTTGCTTCTCCCATACACAGCACAGGTGACCCCATTGTCTCTGAGTGCCCAGCTACTCCATCTGCCTGTAATTTGGTTCCTGCCTGATTCTTTGAGGTTCTGGGTTTGTGGGGGAGATAGGAGACCATCTCTGTTGAAAGAGGCCCTTGCAAGAATCAGAGGTACCACACAGAGCAACCTTCTCTCTGTTGTCTGCACACACAGCACAGCTACCCAAGCCCAGAATCACAAGCAACAATAACAATCCCATAGAGGGTAAGGACTCAGTAAAAATGATGTGCAAGCCTGAGACTAAAAATACAACCTACCTGTGGAGGATAAATGACCAAAGCCTCTCAGAAGGTGACAGGCTGAAGCTGTCTGAGGACAACAGGACACTCACTTTACTCAGTGTTGTGAGGACTGACACAGGACCCTATGTGTGTGAACTCCAGAACCCAGCAAGCACCTCCCAAAGTGATCCGTTGACTCTGAACATATTCTGTGAGTATTGTCTGCTTCATCATGGCTACATCTATCTATACAAAGGGCTAGAGCTAGGACACTCAGTCCCCTTGGGTTGATGACACAGACCCACCACACAGATCCCTAGGCTGACCAGGGTGTCCTGACCCAGCACATGCAGCCAGGCCCAGCATTGAGCTGGAATGGGTTTGAGGCTCAGGGTGATGGAGACAGGGGACAGCTCAGACTCAGGCTCAGTGCACAGTGAGTGTGCAGTGGGGATGTTTGTGTGCTGTGCTTGAGATGGATCAGGGCTTGTGCCTGCTGCATGAATATTCTTCTACTAATCTGCACCCCAGCTCTGGGTGGGACCTGCTCAGCTGAGGTTATAGCACAGCTCAGAGAGATAGTGTGGCCTTATGCAGACCAGGATTGCCCTTCCCTCTGCTGACATCACATGTGACTTTATTCTGTTTGTTCCAGATGGTCCAGATATCCCGATCATATCCCCCTCAAATACTCATTACCGTTCAAGGACAACCCTTCAAATATTCTGCCAAACAGTCTCTCACCCTCCTCCACAGTACTCTTGGTTTGTCAATGGAGAGTTCCAGACATCCTCCCAAGAGCTCATTATCCCCAAAATCACCACTAAAGATAGCGGACCTTACACCTGCTTCGTCTATAACCCTGCCACTGGCCTCAATAGGACCACAGTCAAGAACATTGAAGTCCTTGGTAAGTGGATCTCTGAAATATCAGCGCCAGGTTTGGAGTGGAGTCTTTTGGCTTTCTGAGAAGATGCAGAAGAATTTAATTTCCAACCAATGTAATGGAAACAAGCAAAACTCTATTCTCCTCTGAGCGTCCTGCTTCATCCCTATGTCTGATCTTCTCCTAAGGCTCTGACTTCTGACTGATAGGGATGGAGCTTGGAGTGTGAGGAGAAGCTTCTCCCAGCCTTGGAAACCTCAGGTTGTAAGAGGGACTTCCCAGGGAACAGAAAGCCTTAAGGTCAAGATTTCTTTCTGTCACTAACATAGGCCTTCCTATCCCTCCATTTTCTTCTTATGACCTCCATCACTTAGAGGAACATCCAGGGCTTTCAACTGTGCTCACATTCTTTTTCTCCAAATGTGAGGAGAAAACTCCCTCCCCACAGATGGGGACCAGCAGTTCAGAGCTCTGCTCCCAGCTCTGCTCCTGTCTCAGGGGTGACTGGCTGAGCTCTGACTCCATGGGAGGGGAAGAGTGGTGAAGGCACCTGGGAGCCCTGTTCTGACTCGGGGTAAACCATGTCACTGACAACTTGATGATGCTCTTTCCCTTACTCTTGTCAAGGATTAAAAACAGATGTCGGCTGAGTGTGGTGGTGTGTGCCTTTAAGGCCAGCAGTAAGGAGGGAAAGGCAGGAAGATAGTATGAGTTTGAGGCCGGTCTGGTCTACATAGCAAGTTCCAGACTCGCCAAAACTGAAAAGTGAAATCCTGTCTCAAAAACAAAACAATACAAAACAAAAACAAACAACAACAAAAACAAAAAAACAGTATGGAGGATTAAAATGGCAGACTGCGGTCAACACTGTGATCACTCCCATCCTCTCTGTGGTATTTATCCATCTCCATGGGGCAGGAAATTAAACGTTTCTTCAAATAGGAACCCTTTAGTTTGGGATTTCTTCCAGTTCTGAGGTCTAGGCTTTAACTCCTCTGAGATTAACCAGGCCATCTGAACCCTATAACACATTAGTTAATGAAAAAGAAACAGAAGGCAGTTTTATAATGAAGGGACCTGACTGTTCACACTCACAGAAAATGTGAGCAAGAATTTGCACAAAAATCAATGGGGAAAACATTCTGCCCAACATGACATTTGTGGTCATTTGGGCTGAAGAGGCTTTAAGTGTGGAACCTGCACACATACCCTGAGTCAAGGGCCAATGTGGGGGTCTGGGTAGGAGGAAGGTTCAGCTCTCTCTTTACAGATTGTATCTTGCACCCAAACATGAGATCTTCCAGAGGGCCATGTCATTCTGTGGGCCCTGTGAGCTGGCTGAGGTCTCTGAGGATGAAGGACTCTCAGCTGTCCCCTCCACTGTTTATCCACAGAGCCAGTGACTGCACCCTCCATCCAAGTCAGCAACACCAAAGTCAAAGAAAAGGAGTATGTGTTCCTGACCTGCTTCTCTAATAACACTGGAACCTCCATCCGTTGGCTCTTCAATGGCCAGAGTCTGGGGCTCACAGACAGTATGAAGCTGCCCTGGAACAACAGCACCCTCCGCATATTTCCTGTCAGGAAGGAGGATTCTGGGAAGTACCAGTGTGAGGTCTCCAATCCAGTCAGTATCAAGAGAAGTGACCCCATCCAGTTGGACATAAGTGAGTGACCTTCTGTCCCTTATTACTCCATAGTGTTGGGAGTGGGGCAATTTCTTTATCAGCAGTGTACAAAATGGGCAAAAGTCACCAGAAGAAAAACATGGCTAAAGATTCAATTGCAGTCAGCTTAGTGATGAATGCATGTTAATCTTGTTATAAACACCACACAAGCTGAGCATGATGCTGCACACCTTGAACCCCAGCCAGCACACCAGAGGCAGAGACAGGTGGATGTCTGTGAGTTCCCAACCTCCCTGGTCTTTGTAGTGAGTTCCAGGTTAGCCAGGGCTCCATAGTGAGACCCTGTCAAGAGAGAGAGAGAGAGAGAGAGAGAGAGAGAGAGAGAGAGAGAGAGAAACAGAGACAGAGAGAGAGAGAATAAAGCAGGAGGAATAGAAGCACAAGGTCAGCCCAGGTTAAATTATAAGTCCCTGATATAACAACAACAGCAGCAGCAGTAGTGTTAATATAGCAATAGAAATGCAAAATTATTGAGAGTTTAGGGTCTGAGTCAAGCACACAGTCGACCCTCAGAACGTAGTAAAATATTCATGTTACTCTACACCCCTCCAATACATTCAAATCTTCTTTAGGTTATTTCTTACTCCTAATATAAATACTTCAGACAATAATGTGTTCAGTTAGGGACAAGAACAGGAGGAAACAATACACTTTTCACTGTAGATATATTGTTTCCAAATAGCTTACTTCCAAAGTTTGTTTGTTCCATAAATGTAAAATCCACAGATAGCGAGGACCTGTATTGATTTGTGCTACATTTGTATATTTATTAATTTTGTGTGCATGTTCTACGCCCATGTGTGGAGGTCAGAAGGTGAATCGTGGAGGCCAATTCTCTGGGGACTGAGAACTGAGCTAAGGTGGGTGAGCAATGCCTTACCTGCTAAGGCATTTCACCTTACAAAATTTGTTTGTACATTTATTTATGTGTAACACTTGGAAACAGATACTCGGTGTGGTTGGTGGAGTGGCCTTGATTATTGTGAAAAATGCCGCAAAGACCTGCTGGGTCACATGACTGATAACATCATCTGATGCACATACCTTTTCAGTTTTGCTAAAATCCAATTTATCTATTTTGTTGTTTTCTATGCATCTGGCATCATAACAAAGAAACCAGGCCAAGCCCAGTTTCAAGACGCTTTCACCGTGTCTCTAAAAGTCTCGTCGTTTTCAGGTCTGATCCATTTTAGGTCTTTGACCCATTTAGAGTTGACTTTTATATGATGTTTGCTGAAGGCTTAACTTCACTCTTTTGCCTGGATATCTTATTTCCCCAACATCTCTTGTTTAAAAGATCATTCTTCCATCATTGAACAACCTTAGCAGCCTGGTCAAAACTCATCTGGTCACAGAGGTGCAGTTGGACAGTGAGAACGTCTTCCAAGTTCTGTAACTCAGCAGGACAACCCTGTGTGACACTGACCAATTCAAAGGAGCCAGGAGAGACGAATGTCCTTAACAAACGTGAAAATGGCAAATGAAGTGACGGATGTGCTAAATGCTTGGGACTAACAACACATTATAATATATGTGCAAAAACTGTGCCCCATAAACACATTCATAGTAACAACTAGTCTTTAATCTAATCATTGGCCAGTGTGCATGAGCAGTTCTGGGCTTTCCAATTCTACTTCACTGATCTGTATGTCTGCCTTTATTTTATTTGTTTTGATTATTGCAGCTTTGTACTAAAATTTTGAAATCACTAAGGATGTCCTGCGATTTTATTCTTTCTTGTCAAGATACTTTTAAGGCACTCACCTCTAACTCCAACTCTTGGCGGGGGGTGGGGGTAGAGGCAGGTAGCTCTCTGAGAGTTTGAGGTCAGCATGGTCTATGTATTGAGTTCCAGGAGAACTAGAATGGATTTTCTATTTCTGTACAAGATGCCACTGGGATTTGATCTGATGTGCATAGAACTGATAGACTACTTTCACTAATATTATCATTTACTTAAAAAAAGGCTTTCAGGCAAGATGATTCATACTTGTAATTACAGTCACTCAAGAAACTGAGGCAAGGGTACCATAGCTCTAAGGGTGTCTAACATAGCCAATTCAAGGCCAGCCTGATTAATTTAGTGACATCCTGTTTCAAAATCAAAATTAAAAGGCATAGCTTGGAATACAGCTCAACGGTAGAGCATTGTTCACCATGCACAAGGCCCAGGGTTCGATCCCCAGCACCGCAAAACAGCAAAAATGAGATGAAGTTTTCCCACCCATCAACTCCACTGGCTTTTATTCCTTGTCTTCTTTCATCTCTTATTTGGTAATTTTCTGGGTGCAAGTCTTTTATCTCTTTGGTGGAGTTAATTTTAAGTAGCCAACATTCAGTGCATTGGCTTTCTCTACTGTTACTCTGATCTGTTTGTTCATCTTCATTCTAGCCTTTATTTCCCTCCCACCACTAGCTTGGGGGAGCTTTTAGGGAGGCAAGGATCTTATTATATGACCCAGACACACCTCAAACTACAATCCTCCTACCTCAGCCTCTGATGCTAGGGTTCTAGGTTACATCACATCCTTCACCTGCCTCATAGTAGGTTTTAAAAACTCAATAACCTTTTTGGAAAAAAATATCACACACACACACGAAGCAAAATCAATGCTAGCTGCAATTATTCCTAGCACTCGTGTTGGCCGTGAAGTCAGGTAGCCAGGTCTGTCTCTAATCAACCATACAGATTCAAGTACTGTTTACAAAACACTTTAAGCCTCAGTTTTTTCATCCTTTAAATGGAAATAATTTCTGTGAGACAGACTCATCATATAGATGAAACCAGATACCAATACAGGGCCAGTCACATCATAAATGCCATACCACAATGGCCAACGTTAGCATTAATAATCACGCTGAGTCGACTGGTGAGGGTGGAGCCTCAGATGGCTACAACAAGGGGTAAAGAGGTGAGGAAGGTTTTATTACATAAGGGATGTGGGGAGTCCCATGTTATCCAAGAAGTGAAACCCCTGTAGCATGGTTATTAAAGAAATATGGGAGGGAAAAAAGGAGGGGGTGTCAGATGTAAAATTCCAAACCTAGTAAGTTTTCATCCTCTGATAGGGGAGTTCAGCCAATTATATTCTGTTTTCGGGGCGTGCCACCCTCAGGCAAAAGCCTGCCTATAAACCTTGCAAACGCGCTCCGCTAGCCGTCTTTTCGCCTGGCTCCTGTGTCCGGACAGATCGGTTGGATTCTGGTGTAAGCTGTTGTAAGTCTTACTTCTGTTTATTAAAGCTATATATTTTGTATCAAGATAGTCTGGGGACTTTTCTTTACCAATCGCCCTGCAGCTTCAATCCTCCAAGATGTGGCCATGATGGGCTCAGATGAGCAAGGCATTAGTTGGGGATACACTTGTGAGGTGAGCCTGAGATAGCCCTCGGGCCACATGCAGCTATGATCCCTGAGAAGGCAGAGAAGGAGGCATGTCTTAGATTGCGGTGCAGTTCCAGCAGAGTTTCTGCAAGGTTGAGCCTGAGTTCCCCACAGTCACCAAGCAGAGGGACAGGGTCTTACAGAGTCTGCCTGGCCTTCCTAACCCTGCAGAAACCATGGTCTCTGTGGAGAGGAGCTGGTACATTGAGAGTCACTAGCCTGGCCTCTGTCGCTTAGATCACGGCCACAAGAGACCACTTATTCACGACTGCCACAGCTGAGACCCCGAGAACAAGATGAAAACCAACTTAGAAACACAGTGAGGGTGGAAAGACATTTGCTAAGAGACCCTCACTTCAACTCATATTTCACCTTCCCACAGAAAACACATTTCCCAAGAGGGTGAACAGAAATCATCTCAGGCTAAAAATTCCCTGGGCAGACCACCAGAAAACATTTTATTTCATTCCTTCTTGTCGTTTCCTTCCCTGACAGTTAAATCAAAACAAAGAAGTTCTGGCCTTTCAAGAGGTGCCACCGCTGGCATCGTGATTGTAGCCATGACTTTGGTGAATCTGATCGTAGCCCTCATGTATTTCCTTTATTTCAGGAATAATCTGCAGGTAGGTTGATCTTTCCTCTCTTGTGTTCTCCGAGTCTTACTGTCATGTGTTGTGTGATATTTTGTTTGTGATCTGACAAAAAAAAAGCTTGTTTGCAGTCAGAGGGCAGAGCTAGCCATTAGTTAACCATTGAGGTCTGGAGGTCTGTACAGAGAGGAACGGGAGGTGATAAGGTGGGGCAGAGACAGGCTCTCACCCCTTTGGGATTGGGGGGACACAAGAGGAATGAAGCAACTACGCCTGCTCTCCTGATCTTTCAGGTTTTACGCCGCTATGTGACTCCTGGTTTTTGTTGAAAAGATTTATGAACTTTAAATTTTCTAAATGCTAATGAGAAAGGAATGACAGTTGCAGAAAGACATTGTATAATAGAAAAAAACTACTGAATTAAATCAGCCTCTATACTTTAAAGATGTGTTAACCTCAGAATGCAAACCAGGATATGTGTTACATTGGAGAAGAGGTTTTGGTTTTGTTTCTACAAGAGAAGAAAGGCTATGGATATCATTAAAATTGATAAAGATTTGATTTGAACAAGACAGACCTCTTGATTAGAAGTGGTAATAGTCCATCAACCAGCGTGATCATTCAATCTAAACTAACTTATAAAACTAGCAAATGCTTTTCATTTGATCAGATATAACTTGCCAAAAGTAGAACTCCCCAAAGTTATGGTTGGGGCAGGATTTTGTTTTTGTCTTTCCAGGAGAATAAAGACAACCTGGAAAAGAATAACAAGACAAACGGACAACTTGAACAACTGAAGCAACCGAGCAAAAAGGATAAAAATTCCAGAAAAAAAATCCCAACATAAAGAGTAAATTGGCCGGGCTGGTCCGAAGGTAGTGAGTTATCTCAATTGATTGTTCACAGTCAGTTACAGATTGAACTCCTGTTCTACACTTTCCCCCCTTCTCACTACTGCACTTGACTAGTCTTTAAAAAAAAGAGACAGAGAGAGTAAATTGGCCGACAGGTATATCATATGTACAACAGGAAAAATTTCACAAATCTTCCCAAATGTTTGTTTCTGCTATTCTCTACAAACATTTAATGTAAATGGTCTTTTTGTAGTACCAGTCTAATTAAATATTAAAGCTGACTTTGGGCTTGGAGTTCTCTACTTCTCTAAACCCATGCAAGCTTGTTTTAAGGAAAATTTCCAAATCTCTGTCTCATGTCAGAAGAGCCACCTGATGTGGGACAGAAGAAAACACAAAATTAAGGGACTATGTTCTATTGCCACTAATCTCATAATTCTTTGGTTTTATATTGACTATTTAAACTTAAGATAGATATAAATATCTGAAAATTTTAAAAATTATATATGTGTATTTTAAACATTTTATCAATGATGTTAATGGTCATATAGAATACTAATTCTAGAAAAAGACTTCTACATTCTTGTACATGATTTAGGGCATGAGTCTCTGTCAGGTAACTAGGAATTAAGTTTTTGAACTCTGAATGTATATAACAAATTATGGTCCTTTAAACTCATTAAATTCTTCTTCATATAACCTTCAAAATCTTTAAGTTTTCTTCAGTTAATCATGACTGCCTAACAGTGACCTTTGAAGCCTCCAAGAGGAAGGTGGGGCCCCACCACAATGATTCCACCTGAACTATGATAATGCCATTAAGTGACAAACAACACCCAAAGATCAGCTTTGAACTGCAAACTGTTCAGGACAATTTCAAGGTGGCTAGCTGAGATGGTCCAGCTTCACAGACTACTCTAGCCAGGACTTGAGACAAGCCCTTCACCTCTGGGCATCTTGGAAACAGATGGCTCTATCCTGCTCCTCCTATAATACTAACACAGTGGATCTGAGCAACCTCTGAGGGAAGCTAATTCCTGAACTGACCATGGCCACCTCCCCCT